GAAGAAGAAGAAGAAGAAGAAGAAGAAGAAGAAGAAGAAGAAGAAGAAGAAGAAGAAGAAGTAGTAGTAGTAGTAGTAGTAGTAGTAGTAGTAGAAGTAGTAGTTTGGGAAGCAACTTTTTCTCCAAACAGGATAAATATTAGCTCAGTGTTTCTCAGCCTTGGCAACTCTAAGATGTGTAGACTTCAACTCCCAGAATTCCCCAGCCAGCATGGGAATTGAAGTCCACCCATGCTGGCTAGGGAATTCTGGGAGTTGAAGTCCACACATCTTAGAGTTGCCAAGGCTGAGAAACACGGTATTAGCTGAATGAGCGTTGCTTTTAGAGGAGAAATTGTTGTGTGTGTGTTGCTAGATTGATTGTACTGTATGTATCTGTAAGCTACTCTGCTTTGTTTCCTTATTAAATTGCTTTGGGGGGGGGATGCACAAAAAGTTGCTTTTACTACATACTGTTTGCACGTATTTTCTCCAACTTACACACATCTGCATGCCTTTCTCTGAAAATATTTTTGTTTCACAAACAGTGGGAGCCACATGAAGTGGTGGCTACGGTTCCATCCATGCCTTTCTTGTGCATCAGCTCCTATCAGAAAGAAAGCTGTTAAGATTGGCCTCACAATTTCAGAGTTTTCGGATCCCATGAAAGAGATTCCTGTTTTTCTCTCCCATTTCCAGTGTGCTTTGGAATTTCTTTCTGATTCCTCTCATTGATATGTGAATTTAGCTTCTGGCTGGAGACGGCTGGCTTATGATGTTTTCTGTCAAACCTCTGAAGCCTCCCTGGTTTTCACTCTTCCTCCTACTAAAAAAAACTCAGTACTGTAGGATTATGGTTTCTGTTTCTTGCAGAATGCCAAGGAAGCCAGGAAGCTGCACAGATTATAGTGCAAGGAAAGACGAGTCTTGCACATATGCACACACATACACACACACACACACATACACACACACTTGGCCACTTCAGTACTGAATAGGTACAGGGGCACCTGCTTCTCTTCTGAAAGTGTTTCTCAAAACAAATTCTTTTCATCGCGTTACAACAGAGCTGAGAGGGGGAAATACAGGAAAACATGTTGGCTTGTGCTAATTAGAATTAGCCAATTCCAAGATCGTGCCAGTTTGCTAAGCAAGATCTCTTCATCCCCTCCTGCCCACCCCTGCCAGCAGGAAACACACGGAGAAGAGAGCATTTGTAACATCTGGTCTCCTTCTTGCTAGCTACCTCCAAAATAGGATTTAGCACTAGATCAATTCCAACGGCCTCCGGTGGGCTATTGATACTCCTCCCTAACTGCCCACTCCTTGACTACATCTGGTAGGGAGATTCTTAAGAACAGCGGCGGAGCAGATAAATCAGCAAGGACAGAGCTGAGTTCCAATCAAGCTCTAGATGCAGAAGAAAAGTGGGGCGGGGGGAAGAGAAGAATCCAAGTTGGGAAGGTTTATAACTAAACTGGACATTGCCCAATGGCACACACCCGTCAGGCAGAATGGTTTTCCACGCCAAAATCATATACAATACAAATTCCTTGCAGGTAGAAAGCTAGTATGTCAAGAGGAAAGCAATGATGGATCCATTCCCCTGATAAGCTAGATTTCTAAGAGTGATTTTCTTTAAAAGCAAAAAGACCAAAGGATGCTAGAACTTTGGGACAGCCAGTGGAAATGATTGGCAGGAAATTCAGGCCAGATAAAAGGAAAAATGACTTCACCCAATGCAGATTTTAATGTATGGAATGTGCAAATGGAGGATCTAACCATGGCCACTCAACTGGTTAAGTCATAGACAACATTTCACTAAACTGCTGATTTCTGGAGAGTGAAAAAGCCCCCTGATGTCCTGTGGATGAGATGGACTTGGTGATTTTGGGAACTGAAGCCCAATAGATCTGGCTCTTCCAAGCTTGAGGGCATCAAAGCAGCTTCTGCATGACCGCTATTAGAAACAAACCACCACCCAGAAGATCTAATCTATCCAGATCATCTTATATTCTGAAGTTGAGAGATGTCCTCAGAAAACTAAGATATTCTGCTGGGCAGAATGGGCCTCCCACCCATTATCTTGTTTTCATTCCTCAGCCTGTGGCACTGCGGAGAAGGCGGACATTTTGTTTCTCATGGATGGGTCCTGGAATACTGGGGAAAACAACTTCGAGTTGATCAAAGACTTCATCTACGGTGTCATCCGGACATTTGAAAATGGAGTCGTGGGGAAGGCTGGCATTCGGCTGGGTGTAATACACTCTGGAGATGAACCAAGGTGGGTCACCAGAACATCAAAAGAATCACCACCTTCCAGAGTCTGGGTTGCTTCTGAAGTTTGTTTTCCGACCTTCCAAACCTATATCCAGAAGACCCCATCCCTCATTCCCAAAGTAATCTTTGAAACCAGTATTGACTAACCTTTTTAAAAACCTGTCTGAAGTCTTGTGCTTCAGAATAGAAATTAACAAGACCAAGATGATCTAGTCCAATTCTTTATTCCATGGACTCAGGTAGACATGGTTATATAGAAGTGAGATGAATTGGTTCTCCAAATATCTCACCTCACATACTTTTGATATCTGCATTTGATGTCTAACATAGGAAGTTGCCTTCTGCCAAGTTATACCAAATTAAAAGTTGTGTCAAGTTAGAATATTTGACCATCCAATTCATTGTTGTCTGGTCCTCTAAGTAGGAGTTCCCCAGTATTTTAAGACTGAGGTCTTACCTTTGTTACCAGAAGGAATGAGGAACTGAACCAAGGCTTTGCAAACATACAGTGGTATTTAGCATCCTGTAGTTTTAATGTCAACATGCCGTGGTAGGCAGTATCTGACATAGTTTTACAGCTAGCATGCAAATATAAAATGACATTATTATCTGATAGGCCGTGGTACGTGCTCTGCCTATTGCTGCCCTATAACAGCACTGAGAAGGGAGGATGTTCCAGAGCCGCTGGGAGTTGGGCAGCATATAAATTTAATAAATTATTATTATTTTATTTATATATTTATTCAATTTATGTGCCCACCCATCTCAAACAAGTGACTCTGGGCAGCGAACCATCATAAAATCAATTAAAACCAAATTACAAACACAATACAATACCAAAAAAAATTTACATATACTGTATGTAGCAGCTGAGAAAGATTATAAACCATAGATGTTAGTATAACCAGGAAACAGGGCCCTTAACACACTCAGGACCCCAGGCCTGGGCACATAATCAGGTCTTCAAGGCCTTATGGAGGGCCAACAGGATTGGGGCTATCCTAATCTCTGGAGGGAGAATCATGATCATGATCATGATCATGATCATCATGATCATCTACAGTTATCCTCAGCCACACCAAAATGGCCCAAAGGATGCTGGGAACTGTAGTTCAACAATATGTGCAGGATCAGTGATCTTCAACCCTTCCCTAAGGGATGTTCAGAGGGAAGCTATTGCTGCAAGGAGAGAGGACTTCTCTTATATTGGTCCCCCAGATTACATGTTACAGAATGATTATAAAAATTCTAACTGCCCAGAAAAATTGCCAGGGCACACACCCAAAAATTGAAATGAATAAGTAAAAAACAATGATGGGCAATGAACATAGAATTACTACACAAGTGGGGGCCTTCTCGAAGCAGGCTAACTGAAAGGTTCTTGATTAGGAACCATCTTTTAAAAATAAATTCCCATGGAAGGAAGTACAAATGGCAATTCCAACAAGGAGATATCCGTCCCAGAAGCGTCCTTTTGCAGAAATGTTGCAGAAGAACATTGAACGGGGTAAAATAGATGAATATTCTACATGTGTATCTAGGTGCCACAATAGATCAAATTAAAAACAGTGAATTGATTGACCTTTCTTGATTCTCTTCTTCATTTTTTGTATAGGGCATACTCTTGGCAAAGCCAGCCATGAAGGTTAGTTGGTGAATGCTTCTAGAAATAATTAATATCCCTTTACCTATGGACTGACTTGTGTTCCTACCAGGACCAGCATTGACCTGGCAGATGATGCCAATGTGGAGGAAGTTCTGGTTGCCATCCGGGGTCTGACCTTCAAAGGGAGCAAGGCAGGAACGAACAGCACCCTTTCTTTCGTAGCTGACACTATGCTTTCTGCAGGAACACTGAGAGAAGATGCAGCAAAGGTGGGGAAACGTGGAGGCATCGAAAAAAGAGCTTGGATTCTTGCAGTGTCATGCTGGCTGGGGAATTCTGGGAGTTGAAATCCACCCATCTTAAAGTTGCCAAAGTTGAGAAACACTGAACTAGAGTACGCCTTAAAGCTGAGTTAAGTAGCACGTTAGCTCCAGTTGCTGTTGGGTCTTCTCCTTGATGGAGGAAGCAGAAGACCTTTTAAGGCTTCCAGATAAAGGCATAAACCCAGTACTTATACCACAAGAGGCCACTGATCACATGAAGCTATAACTGGGGGCTTGATTGCAAGTGATTTTGAGATATTCATGTCCCTGGTGTGTTGTATCCATGATCCAGGACTTGTTGTCTTGTGCTGTGGTTTCTTAGACAGGCCCTTCTCACAGTTTGCCTCCCACCTTCTGCAATGAACCCATCATTTGCAATGTCCTGGCAGGACTAGCAGAAGAACCCCAAATGCAGAATTGGTGGTATGTTAGCCTTAGGAACTTGAGTGATGGCAGACATTTGCTGTCATGGGGACCCCAGAAATGATGACAAAAGCTAGCAATTTATTCTTTTTTTTAATGTTTGCAAAGAGCAGGGAGCGATGTGTGTTGAGACAAGGAATAAGAGGGCAGGTTAAGGCACTCAGTCAACTGATGGAAGCATTGATTGGTCTCTGTGCTGAGCCCTTGGTCAGAAAGGACAACTATTTGATTTTCTGCAAGCTTTGTAAACATCTAAACATAACCCTGCTCGTGGTGTTCTGGTATTCCAATAGATCCTGAAGTGATCTAAATAACCTGGGTGGATCTCAGGTGCATCTGAAATTGATTTCAGAAAGGCTGGGAGAGAGAAAGCCTGGTGGTCTATCAACAAGTGCTTTGAGTCTGTCAAATCAGATCTCCTAGCCTTCTCCACCTTGTTGATTTCCAGATGCACAACCCCAGAGTCCTGAACCATCATGGTTTTTAAATTACATTCTCACGATTTCTGGAAAGTACAGTTTGGGGAAGGGAGGATATACTTTAAGGTCCACCTTCAGAAAATCTATTCATTGTTGGTGGGTTGGTGCAGTGCACTAAGGTAAAATACAACAGGCCAATTTTTATCTCAGGCAGATGGTGTTTATAGATCAGAGTGCGCTGGAACTCAGAAAACTAAATAATTGAGCCATGATAATAGAACCTACAATGCTGGATTGATTGATTGATTGTTTGATTCAGTCTTTCTCAACCTTAGCAACTTTAAGATGTGTGGACTTCAACTCCCAGAATTCCCCAGCCAGCAATGTTGGCACACATCTTAAAGTTGCTAAGGTTGAGAAACATTGGTTTGGTGGTTTGTTGGTTTAATTGATTATGTGCCATCAAGTCTTTTTCGACACCTAGTGACCACATAGATAGATTTTCTCCATGACAATCTGCCCCTAACATGGTCCTTCAGCCCTTCTAACGGTGCACTCATCACTATTGTAACTGAGTCCATCCACCTTGCAGCTGGTTGTCCTCTTCTTCTCTTTCTTTCCACCTTTCTAAGCATTATGGATTTTTCAAAGAACCTGGGTCTTTCAACTGATGGATTGACTATGTTCTATCAAGTCAGTTTTGACTCTTAAAGTCCATATAGGTGGACCTTTTCCAGGATGATCTGTCCTCAACCTGATCTTTCAGGTTTTCCAACGGTGCCCTCATCACTGCTGTAGCGAAGTCCATCCACCTTGCTGCTGGTTGTTCTCTCTTTCTCTCTCCGTCCACCTTTCCCAGCATCAGAGCCTTCTCCAGGGAGCTGGGTCTTTGCATAAAGTGTCCGAAGTAGGATAATTTGAGCCTGGTCATTTGTGTCTCTAGTGAGAACTCTGGATTGATTTGTTCAATGATGCATTTCTTTGTTTTCTTGGGTGTCCATGGTCTTCTCCCACTTGAAACAATGCTCAGATTCCATGAGACGGCTTATACGCACATCCTACTCTTTTGAATTCCCTTGCGTTTCATTGCAGATAATAATTCTAATAACAGACAGGGAATCTTCTGATTCTGTCGATGAGCCCGCAGCGTCCCTTAAGGATGGGGGCGTAACCATATTTGCAGTGGGTATGTATCAGAGAAATCACAATATTCTCGGCATTTCTATCCTCCATACTGCCCCGGATTAAGCATTAAGCAAAATAAGCCCATGTTTACGGCACCAAGGGAGGGGGGCATTTTTTCCCTTATAACAATGTTATTAAAAAGTGCATTAGAAAGTGTTGAAAATTTGCATTTTTTATGTTGCCCTAGTTGTAAGTAAATAATTTCCTTATATTGCTTACTGCTGTTTAGTGTTAAATAAATTCATTTTTTAAACAGTTTGTATTTAATACAGTTGCGGGGTCTGGCCTAGGAAATGGCCTGGAAGAAAACTGAATTCTGAAGCTCTTATTTCACCTTATTAAGACTCAGGACTTACTGAGTCTTAATGTCTTGTCTGTTAAGCAATGGAAGGGCCGATGGGCACCATTGTTGAGCTGGGCTTAGGGCATCCGTTGGCCTTCATCCATGACTTTCTTTTTCCCCAAGGAATGAACAAAAGCTATCGACTTCTAAACTTTTGGGAGGTTTCCTGGGGGAGATAAGAAGGGAAATCTGTCCTGACCAATCCTAAGCAATGGATAGATTTTGCCCTCCCTGAACTTGCAAACAAGGGAGGGGGAGCTTCCAAAAAGTGAAGATGGTGGTCACAACCATGTGATTGAAGCCCCCACCCTTTTCATGTGTCTCATAAAAAAGGGGTAGGGCTCCAATTGTGTGGTCAGCCACCATCTTGACTGTTTTGACCACTCCATCGATCCCCCTGCTTGCATCTTCTTTCTTTCTTCTTTGCAAGATGGTGGGATCCACTGAAAATCCAGCCTGTGTTTTGTTCATCCCACCAGGAATAAAAAACGCGAACAAGAATGGGCTGAAGAAAATTGCATCCGAGCCCTTCGAGGAACACGTGCTCTATGCTGAAGACGTCCATCAGCTTGGCAGCCTCCTGAAAAAACTGACCCGAAGGATTTGCTTCATTGCTTCGGAGCCTCCCCGGCCTGCCAAGCAAAGGATGGGGAGTGAGTCCAAGAACCTCTTTGCCCTCTAGAAGTCCCAAATAAGGCTTTCTTTCTTTTCTTTCTTTTTTGCTTTTGGATCCTATTGTTGGACAGTTCATGTCATATTGCAGAATCCTTGCTCTCCTGACATCCTGCACCCAGCTCCTCTTTTGGCCTGGGTGAAAAAAATCCAGTTCAAAGAGAATTAGGAAGAGAAACAGTTGGTGACTCTTAAAAAATGCATGAATATAGGAAAAGGTCATTAGATTATCCTTTTGTGCTTAGCAGAAGTTGGACAGTGGTCTAACTGTCTCTTCCAAGTTTATGATTGTAAAATTCTAAATATTATGAATATCACACACACACAGAGACACATATATTTCAGCTGAAGATATCATTAACATGTGAATTAAACTGTTAAGCTTTTCCAAATGGATTTATTTCATAGATTATTGTGAGAGATAGGAACTTGTTTGACTAAGCTGGTTTCTTTTCTTTTTTTTCCTAGCCAGTGAATAAATTAAATCAAAATTCTAGCTTGTTGGACTAAATATATTAGAGTTAGATTTATCGTCAATCTTGTCTCACTTAGTAAGCTGGCTTTTCAGACTGAAGAATGCCCTAAACACTTTCATAGCCTAATGCAATTGATTCTACTATCCAGACTCGCAGCCCCAAATGATTAAGAAAAATCAGAAAAATGATTAAGTCCTTCTGAAAAACACCCATGTGGAAGCCAATAAATTTGTTTAACAAAACCAGCTCTGGATTCAAGACAAACTGTTGATTGCTAAGAGCTGTTTCATTAAGTAATACATCCCCAGATTCATTTCCCGTGCAGCAAGTCCACCAAAATTGGAATCACAGTCCAAGCTACCAGAATCTGCAAAAACTCCTGAGTTCCTTCCCCATAATCAGATCCAATGTATCAATGATGAAGAGCATCTTCTGATATTGACTGAGGTTGATTCCAATGGTTTCTTTTCCCCACTTGAAAAGAACAGTCAGAATCGTAATGTTCTTGACCTGTTGTCATCTGCCAGATGGTTTCTGAGATCTTCAAAGGAATTAGTAGAGAAGTCCTACCTAGAAGGCTTATCTAGTCCTGAAGATAAGTCTTCAGCATCATTCCCTCTTCTGTAGCACAGCAATCCGTTCCCATTCTGTCATTTCCATTTAATGGAATGAATTCACATTTGGAGGAAACTTTTGATTTAAAGGCAGATCATCACTTTCAGTGGAATGTCTCTTTAGCTTTTTGTTTTTTTTAGATACATGTACATCTGATGAGTTTTTCCACCTCAGTAGGAGTGTCCGTGGGTGGGGTGGTCAAAAACACCAAATGATGCCTTCAGCATAAAAATGTGACACACATGAAAGAAGGAACAAGGCCTCCATAGAGAGATTGTAGCCATCTACAGTCCATCTTGACTTTTTCAGCCTGCCTGCAGATGCCAGCCAGGGTTTTCACCCTTCTTCCATAAACTCATGGAAGATCAGCTAGGTGGATTTGGACATTTGGAAGGCCTGGAATATACTGAACATAACAAATTACCTGGCTAACATTTCTATTGCTCAGAAAGCTTTCCATTAGAGTTTTGGAACTATTGATGCCAAGTCATGGTTACTGTAGAAGTAAGGTTCTTTTCTTTCTGGGGGCTGAGATGCCTTTTGCACGATGGCTGTCTAGTTTGTGTCTCTTCCTCCTGTCTCCCAAGGTCATTCCCACATACCATTACACAAGGGAAATCAGAAAAGCCCAGAAACTAGAAGGCCATTGTTGCTCTGGAAAGATCCTAGTCAAGGAGGAAGTATTTTATGGCTGTTCTTATTCCTACAGAAAGACCTGGTGATCAGCCTGGCGATACTTGTCTTCTAGGAAGACGTTTTAAGGTGCAGATTGCTCCCTGTGCAAGGGAGCGTGGTTCTAACCATGATGGAACCTGTCTTTATGTTCTCACTGGGAGTTAGAACTCATGTAAATGTACAGTAATGTTTCACAAGAGTTTTTTCTCTTTGCATCCTCCAATCTGTGTTTGGAAACCACTTGTTGTAAAACTTTGATTCCCTTCCCCTCTTCTTCTCCTAGTTGCGAAGAGAGTTGGGCCTCAAGACCTGATAATCAGTGAGCAAAGTTACAATTCCTTGAGACTCCACTGGACCCCAGCCACTGGGAAAGTGACTGGTTACCACGTCCTCTTGAATTCAGATCTTGAGCAGCCTACTCTAGCGAATCAGCAGAAGGTGGGTTCATTCTCACAACTCCTTGGTGATCTATTTAGTGTTCAGGGCTACATAAGGCTCTTTTTCACAGACATATTTTCACAAGCAAAATATTTTGAAGGGTTTCAGCCAAACACTTTTGGTTGATAGGATCGTGAATCCGTATGAATTTTGAATTGCATCCTTTTGTGATTACCCAAACAGCTGTACACAGATAACCTTAGATTGTTTCCTTCCACACACGTACATAGACTGTATCCACCCAACATGCTAAATCTAAGCCATCAGGTGGTTTACCTGAATCTGAGATTAGCATTACCAGATGCCCCTGGTAAAGGATACTGGCATTGCAGTTCAGAGAACCACTGGATTTCCACCTTTGATTTACAAAATCCTCTTATTTAACTGAAGTTCTGAATTATGAAAAAAGTAAATGTCTCCTGAACCATCTCTCCAAGCTTGCTCTTTTAATGGCTGCCATCACTGTTTCTTTGGATAATCTAGAAGGAATTAGTTGTCAACCTTCTTCCTACCATTGACCCAAGACCTTCACAGTAAAAGCAGAAGGCTCTGCTGTTGCCTTGAGGACAATAGTTCCAGGTCTCCATCAGAGTATCTTCATCTGATTGTAACCACTGGGAAAAACCATGAAAGATCCATTAGCAACTTCACCCGTAATATCCTGGCTAATGAGGCCAAGTTAGGAATCAGGATATTACTCTAACGTGTTGTCTCCAACGTATCCAATGGCCGGAAGCAAGCCACATTTTCTTAACCCCAAATGACTGGACTTAAAAAAGATTATAGTACTGATTTACTGTACACATTTACTGTAAGGTTAACAGGAAGATCGTGTGAAACTCTTGGAAACTTCTAGAAGTGCTACCTCAGAGCTAAGCTTTATACCTTGTAGAAGGTGGTAAGACTGAAAAAGAAGATTTTCTCATTGTCTACATGAGAACCTGGAATTCTTCTACTATTTAGAGTAGGCCAGCCACACCCAATCTGATTTGGGATTTCAGTTTTCATAATCCCAAGCCAGGCTCATTGTATCTAAAAGAACCAGCTTGGAGAGGATTGAAGTAGACTGGATGGAGCAGAATCTGCTTCAGGGCAAGGCCTGTGATAACGGATATATGTAATTCTGGATTCCTCTCTGATATCTCAGGAGCAAAGTACTTTGGCCTAGCTGGAAGAGACCTCTGCCTAGAAGACCTCAGAGAGGTCAACTTTTGATATAAAGCTAATATGAAACCAACTGGTGAAGTAAAGCAGTTTCATATGGAGAAAGTAGTCAGGAGCCCTGTATGGTGGCTGTTGACCTAGTTAAGTGTGATTATGTGCTGCCAGAATCTCCAATAAGGATATATGATGGGTTACTGGCTGCCTGGATTAAATTTGTTGTGGAAAGAGGTCCTGTGCTTCATTTCTATCCAAATCAAGTAAGCGCAGAAGAAGCTTTTGGGAGTATTATTCTCTGCTTGGTTTTAAAGCATAGAAACTTCCTTTCAGAAAAAAATATGCTATCGTTTTCACCAGATCCTTATTTTATTTTATGTTATTTTGTGTTATTTTATATTGATAGATGGGCCAAAAGAAATCAACTGAAGCATTCATATATGTTCTTTTCCATCTTCCTGGTGTGTTTGTGTGTGTGTGTGTGTGTGTGTGCATGCACACACACGCTCTGTCCATTGCAGATAATTTTAGATGCCAACAAGAACTCGGTGTTGATAACTGATCTGAAGCCTAGTACAAAATATATCTTGACTGTCTTGGCCATCTATGCCAATGTTCTTGGAGAGCCAGTGACCATCAAAGGGAAAACAAGTGAGTTCATCCTTTTTAAGGACACTCTTCTGAGCAGCTGTTTTTTTCACCCATGTCAACAAAAAATATGAAGCATTCAAGAGGTTTCAGTGCTGGTGATTGAATCGAACCTGACTTACTGTATTCCATTAGCTCCATAGATACATTATGATCAAGTCAACCAAAACGCTGCAAGGATTAAGATTGATCACAGATTGATTTACTGACATTATTTCCAGAATTTTTTTTTTAAATAATTACTCCTTACTAACAAAAAACTAGCCAGCAGCAGCAGGCTGGAACTGATTCGCTGTCAGCCAGTAATTGGCAATTGCCAGCATAAAACAAGCCAGCTGGCCTGTTTTTTGCCAGCAAGCAAGGAACAAGATGTGCTTTTGTGGTGTCTGGGCATGTATAATGATGTCATTAGGCAAACTCCAACCCACAGTGGCATCACAACACTGGCATATAGAGAAGAGAGTTCACCGTGATGTCACTGCAGGGGAGTGCTTGCCATAATGTCCTACTTTGTTGGGGACACCTTTGTTTATGTGGTTGATTTTGTCTCTCTCTCTCTCCCTCTTCTTTTACCTTCAAGCCTCTCTACCTCCAGTGACCAATTTCCGGGTCACAGAAGAAGGGCTGTTTAGTCTCAAGGTGGCTTGGACCCCTCCTTTAGGGAAGCTGAAGGGCTACAAGATCTACATTCTAAAATGTAAGTCAAACAGCCGAAACCTTGCTAGATGTTTGTGGGATGAAAGTTGTCTTGAGAGTCTAACACCTTATTTGGGAAGATGCTGAGTCTATAAAACATGTTGGATTAGCACAACCATTTTCCCTCTTCTGGGTAGTCCTGGGACAAATGCTTAAAGTATTTTTCCCTCTAGAGTTCTAATCAATCAGTGGAGACATTCTTAGGTGGCTCCACTGCAACTGATATTCTGTTCTCTCTGTGGGGTTTGTATATTTTAAAATTTAAAATTTTTGATGTTTTCTTTTTAATAATCATTTTTTATCTTTTTATAATGATTGTTTTTATCCACTTGTTATTTTATTTAATTGTTGTATGCCGCCCAGAGTCAAACAAACAAACAAAGATATGGAGTTTAGCAGCACCAACCAACTTTATTAGGATATAAGCTTTTGAGTTGGCTAATCTTCAAGGTGCTACTAGGCTCTGGATCTAGACAACATTCAGGTCATCACTACAGGAGTCTGAGTGGAAATACTATAATCTGGTAAACCCTGGGAAGTTCAGAAGTCCCAAGGGTATTATTTGATGTTTAGAATTCTGGATCCAACATCTTACATTGCATTTAACAAGTATGTTAAGCAAATACAGTAGTGTTTTGGTGGTCCTGCTACAAATTTTACTCGTTCGCTTCTGTCTCTGATGCAGCAAATAGTTCTGCAAAGACCACAGAGGAGAATCTAAATAGTGAGATCTCCTGGCATGTCCTTGAGAATCTGCAGGAGGATCAAGACTATACAATCAGCATTTATGCTGTCTACGCAGAGGGACCAAGCAAAGCAGTGTCAACAGTTGGCAGAACTTGTAAGTTCTCTAACTTCCTTTGTTCTTCACGTACTGTTTTTAAAGAAGATGCAAATAGCTGTTAGTAGTAATAGTCATCATCGTCATCGTCATCATCATCATCATCATCTCCCACCTCCATGCAGCAACTTTAGGCATCTCTTAGGTTTCCTCTACCTGCAAGAGTCATTACTTGTCTTTTGCTGTTCAGAGGTCCAAGAGTGGAGACAAAGGCCACAGAGGAGTTCCTGCGCACCTGCTTCAACCATTCACCAGAGGTTTCACTCTTTTCAGGTCTTCCAGGTGGGGTGGTTTTGACTCATGATTTGTCCCAGAACCAAAGCCATCCAGCCTAGGAGTATTTTGGCTAGTGCTGGAGAAGAAGGCCGAGAAGTCTTCTTCTGATGGTCAGGCCCAAGATAGTTTGAGGCTGCCTGAATTGCTCCATCAAGGTGAACTGAGTCACTCCTTTGCTTCATTGAAGAGAACTGTATCACTCCATGGGATAAGTCGCTTCATTGAAGCAAATCAAAGCTGCCTCAGGCAGGCTTATTGGCTGCTGCAAGTAGTTCAACACAATTTGGGGGACATCCAGTTGGCACAAGTTAATCAAGATATCCAGTTATTCATACCATCATTTTTGTTCTCTTGCAGTAAAGCTGTCACCAGTGGGAAGCATCTTGATCCAGAATGAAACCACCCATACTGTACAAGTTAGATGGACTCAGGTCCATGGAGCAACAGGCTACAGACTCACCTGGGAATCTTCAGGTAGACCATCTCTTGTGAAGCCCCTGATGATGGACCACAGCCAGGAAAGTTGGATTCTCACTGTCTCATTAGTCAAACATACTTCAAGGGGGAAAATAAGGTTAGGTTACAGATTCTTAGAACTGGATATGTGTATTTTAGCCCATTTTTTATGCCTTTGATTCTCTTCCTAGCTACCTTCTGATACAGGGGAGATATTGTTAGCCCTTTCCTTAGAAAGTGGAAGAAATGTCCGTCTGTTTTGGTCCTGTATACCTGGAAAGTTATGAGGAATCCTGAGGCTGAGTTCACCCAACAAGCTTACCTCAGTAACTGAATTAACTTGTTTTGGACAATGCAGTGAATCAAAACAAATCAAAGAGGCTGGGTTCACAGAACATGATAAGCCATCCAAAAACCCACCAAGGTTTACCCCGATTAGCTTAGCATGTTGAGTGAATGCAGCCACTAGGATTGTAACTGGTTAGGTTAAGCATGTTGTGTGAACAACTGGGCTGCGTTTAGAGAAGGGCTTTCAAGATGATGAGGGGTCTGGAAACCAAGCCATATGAGGAACAGTTAAAGGATGTGGACATGTTTAGCTCTCAGAAAAGATGACTAAGGGGAGATATGATAGCAGTCTTCAAACATCTGAAGGGCTGTCACATGGAAGAAGGAGTGGACTTATGCTCTATTGCCCCAGGAGGCAGGATCAGAACCATGGGGTTGAAAGTACAAGGAAGAAGATTCATACTAGATGTTAGGAGGAACTTCCTGAGGGTATGGGCTGTCAGCCGGTGGAACAGGCAGCCACATGAAGTGTTGAGTTACACTTTGCAGGAGTTCTTCAAACAGAGCCTGAATGGTCCTCTCTCAGAGATGCTTTAATGGATCTTGCATTAAGCACGGAGGTCGAACTAAAATGATCTCTAAAAAAGTACCTTCCAACTCCATGATTCTATGAACAGAGCTTAAGCACGTTGATGAATGTGCAAATAACACATCAGTGGAGTCAAGCAAGTGTGCCCATAAAATAGGCACCTGCCCTCGGGGACACCATACCCCCTGAAGATCCAGCTGGCATTTCATAAGGGCTTGAAAACAGGGCTGTAGGGGTTGGGATGGGACCCGTGAGACAGGTGTATAGTTGAGACTGTTGCTGTCCTTGGCTGCCATGATATACTTGTATTTATTGTTATTATTTTGGTTTGTTTTCTTGAGGTTTTAACCTTGTTAGCTACCCCCACCCCCCCGCCCCCGATCTTTGAATGGCCAAACATAAAAACAACAATAAATAAAAAAAAAAGAAAATTAAAAAAAAA